AATCCCATCAATGTTTGAGTACATTACCTTGAAGCTCACTTTCTTATATCCAATTTCACCCACACTCCCTACAAGTGTAGGAGGTTGTTCTATGGTCCTTGCTACTTGGGTAGGCTCCTCCTCCTGTGAGGTAGTTGCCAGGGGTTCAGGGGGAGGTGGGGTGGGGGGTGGAGGGCTTAGGTCTTCCTCAGGCCTGCTTGGGTCAGGAAGAAGTCCTGGGGGTGAGGGAGCAGGGATTGCTTGGGGAGAGGGCACGCCCTCCTGCGGTGTAGTTGACAGGGGTTTGGAGGGAGGTGGAGTGGGGGATAGAGGGCTTTGGTCTTGCTCAGGCCTGCTTGGGGCAGGGAGAAGACCAGGGGTTGGGAAAGCAACTTACTTGGGGTAAGGGGAGGGGGAGGATTTGGGTTTCATGATGGGCATTATGCAGGGGCAAGGAATGGTTTGTGCTGGGGGGTAGAGAGGGCCCTATTGGGTGGTGGACTGGGGTGTTGCATTCCCCCCTGGGGTTCCTGGGTTGCTGGATTGGGGTTCCCCACTCCCCTCTGGGATTGCTGGGTTGGAGGCTGAGGTTCCCTGGCTCTCTTCCCTCTCCTTGCGCCTTTTCTTTGCATCTGCTGCCCTTACTATCTCGTCTCTGGTCATGTCTCTCTGAACATATACCTCTTTGTAGTTCCTTGCATGCCTCAGTTTGTTCTTCCTTACTAGAATGTCCTCTTTGATGTCCTCGCTCTTGAATACACTTGAATACTTGAATGTGTGTGTGTGTGTGTGTGTGTGTGTGTGTGTGTGTGTGTGTGTGTGTGTGTGTGTATGTGTGTGTGTGTGCAATTGACGATCACGAAACACCGATCATTCGTATCTGGAAAATCCACAAAGAAATTGGAAAGGAAGATGAACGTTTCGGCCGCTTAACAGCCGTTGTTAACACCAGACTGACTAGGAGAAACAAAGAGAGGGTATAGGTCAACAGCTGAAAATTTCCACATATCTCTAAGTAAAGAATTACCCAGAAGCAGTTATTGATTTATCTTAGAATAATAGGATTAAGCGGTTAGAGAATAAGGATGAAAGATAAAAGCCTCAATGAGCACACAATACATATGAATATAATATTGAGATGAGATATAGTAAGCCTTTCAGATTTTTTTCTAAACTGTTGTGCAATATTGTAACTTAAAAATGGATCAAGTTTGTACATACCAGTACTAACATTGATAATATTTGGACACTGATTAAGGCAGACTCGATCAAATTCCGTTCCACGAAACCACCGCAATTAGTAATGCTTTTCGCTCCATCCCACTTAATAGTGTGATCACACAAACTCGTGTGTAGATAGAATGCTCTTGACGTTTGGGCAGTACTAATACTATAGGCATGTTGGGACAACCGCAATTGTAAGGACTTTCCTGTTTGTCCAAGGTACACAGAATCACAATTATTGCCGGGAATCAAATACACACAACCTGCAGTGTCAGGAGAACTTTTTATTAAATTGGACTTGATCGTACTATAAGTGAACACGATATTGATATTAAGTTTCTTAATAAGCGGGGAAAGTTTTTCAAGTCCACTCGCATGAGGTACCACCAATGAGTTTCTAATTTCTGGTTTCGCTTTGGGGACATGATTATAAAACGTACGCTTAGCTTGTCCGAACGAGCAATCCAAAAACATTTTAGGGTATTGTAAACTCTTCCCAATTTCATATATTTTTGCAATCTCTTCATCCAAAAAATCTGGGCTGCGTACCCTCAAAGCTCGTAGAAACATTCCTGAAAATACTGCCTGTTGTTTAACTTTACTATGATGATTCAAATAATAATGAACATACGACCCCACGTTAGTAGGTTTCCTATACACATTAAATTTGAGCTTTCTATTGACTCTATGAATCATAATGTCCAAAAACGGAAGAGTACCATTCTCCTCATTCTTACATGTCAATTTTATTGAAGGTACAAAGAATTAGGTTCATTAAGAAAAACATTTTGGTCTTGGTCATTCGGCCATAAGCACAAAATATCATCAACATACCTAAACCAAATTACATTAACAGGGATTATCCCGGATAAGATTTTTGTTTCAAAGAACTCCATATACATATTGCTCAAAACTGGGGAGAGGGGATTGCCCATCGCCATTCCAAATGTTTATTTGAAAAATTGTCCATTAAAACTAAAATAATTAGCAGGGATAATCCCTGCTAATGTAATTTGGTTTAGGTATGTTGATGATATTTTGTGTTTATTGCCGTGTGACCAAGACCAAAATGTTTTTCTTAATGAACTTAATTCTTTGGTACCTCCAATAAAATTCAACTAATCTCCGAAAGTTCTGCACCGATTGCCTTGAAATTTTCACACAAAGTTCCATTCGCGTCCGAGCGGGTTTTTATATACATACTATATAGGTGTCACGTCTGTGACGGGATAAAACATGTTTATTTGAAAAGCTGTGTTATTCGGGTGTTTTTCATGTTAGGGAAATCTTCGAAACCTCTTTACCGAATGCTTTGAAATTTTAACACAACATTGCATTCGAATAGGCGAGTGTTTTTATATACATGCCTCACTGTGACAGGAAAAACATGCTTTTTTTGAAAAACAGTGCCTTCTGTAGGACGCAAGACCAACACATGCCGTAATCTCCGAAAGTTCTTCACCGATTGCTTTGAAATTTTGACACAACGTTCCATTCGAATATGTGCGTGTTTTTATATACGTACTATTTAGATGCCACACCTGTGACAGGTAAAAACATGCTTTTTTTAAACAGCGACATCTGTTGCACGTAAGAGCAACACACGATATACAAAATATATTACTATTTTATTTCCATGTTTCCAATTGGATTGATAAATTGAATTTTCATTTTGATTTAACTATTTTGTGTGACATTACGTTGGAATTGATCTGTGTTGTTTACCATACCGTTCATTTCGTGAGTATAGCTTATCTGCTTCTTTTTTCATTGTTTTTCATTTCATTTTTTAACGGTTCTTATTTTTTATTGCAATTGGTGGGGAAATTGAGCTGTGTCGATTGATCTGCGTTTGAATTGAAATATTTCCTTAGTATTTTATGTTTTTGTTTTAAAAACAAGAAAATGGACAATACGTTTATTTCACAGCTGCAAATGTACAATAGCTATGAATCCACCGGCTACGACGCTAACTGTTTTCTTAACGTTATGTCAAAATGACGCGCTTGTGAAAACACTGCTGTATTCGGAAGTGCATACGTATTACACATGGGATGCCAGAAGAAAATCATTTGAACGACGCAAACCAGGAGACCTAGTCGACGGACAACCTGGCATATTCAAATAAACTACGATAGGCAGACTGTACACCATTCATCCCAATCAAGATGATTGCTTCTTTCTTCGCATGCTGTTGGTAAATGTGCCCGTTCCAACTTCTTTCCAGCCATTGAGATTTGTCAACGGCGTAACACATGCCACTTTCCGTAGTGCATGTCAAGCTTGGAATTTATTGGAGAACGACCAACACTGGGATGTATGCATTAATGACGCGTCCAACACGTCACATCCAAATCAAGTTCGTGCATTGTTTGCAATCATATTGACCACCGTTTCTCCTTTATCTCCGACAGAGTTATGGGAGAAATATAAATCACACATGGCTGAAGATATTATCCGTCGAATACGAAGGAAAAATCAAATATGAGCATGGATTTCACAGAAAAAATCTACAACGAAGCGTTGATAATGAATAAAAATTTGTGCTTAGAAATCGCGAACAAAGTTCTAAATTAATTGGAAATGCCATTACCGAATCGATCTACTGCTGCTTCGTTCGATGTAGAATTGCGTCGTGAACAAAATTACAACACGAGTGATCTGTTGTCGTATGTGCAATCAAATATTCCTAAGCTAACGCTTGTGCGAAAAAGCATTTACAATCAAATAATTAAAACTGTCAATAACGAGTTTGGAGAAATCTTCTTAGATGTGCTAGGAGGAACTGTAAATTCTTCCTAATTAGATTGATTCTGGCAGCATTTTCATCCCAAAATGGCATAACCTTAGCTCTTGCATCGTCCGGAATAGCTGCGACATTGTTACCAGGTGGAAGAACTGCTACTTTGACTTTTAAATTGCCATTGAACATGCAATTCATTGAAATTCCCACGTGCAACATTTCCAATGCATCCGGCATAGGAAAAGTATTGCAGAAAAACAAACTAATTGTTTGGGATGAATGCACAATGGCCCACAAAAAATTGCTCGAGGTTCTTGATCGATCATTGCAAAATTTGCGTGGAAACATCAGACCATTTGGGAACGCATTAATATTGCTTGCAGGAGATTTCAGGCAAACATTACCTATAATTCCTCGATACAAGTCCGTCGACACTGTTGAGGAAGCAGATGAAGCGGTTAGTTACCCAACAGAATATTTGAATTCACTTGATCTGTCAGGGATACCATCACACGTACGGCAATTGAAAATCTACGTGCCAGTTATCATGTTGCGAAATATCAATCAGCTAAAGCTTTGCAACGCCACGCGCTTTGCAGTAAAATAAATAATCAGCAACGTCGTAGAAGCAACAATCTTGACAGGACCTTTCAAAGGTGAAGATGTCTTCATTCCTCGCATTCCTATGATTCCAACAGATATTCCATTTTAATTTAAGATTTTGTAATTTCCAATTCGATTGGCGTTTGTAATCACCATCAACAAAGCTCAGAGCCAATCTTTAGAATTATGCAGTTTATATTTAGACACGGAATGCTTCTCATAGGGACAATTATATGTTGCATGTTCTAGAGTCCGCAAACCAGGCAATCTCTATATCTCCACAGACAATGGAACAACAAAAAATATAGCAAACCTACAAGCATTGTGAAATTAAACATATTAGAAACGTGCACTTTCTCTTTTCTTTCTTTTCCATTTAACCAGACTGAGCTACAGCAACGCGTGGCGGGTACAGCTAGTTTAAAAATAAGTTCACTCTGAGCTGACTTACCCAGCAGCATGTTGGTAAGAAGGAAGTGACCAAAATGGTTGGTGGCCATTGTCAGCTCCAGACCATCTGATGTTAGCTTCCTCTCTGTCATACCAACAATTCCTGCGTTATTTACCTGTAAAGAGTATATGGGTCAGGTCAGTATACATCTACCTCTACAGTCTACACCACTGCTAGCCTCAGGCTAGCATCCATTACCTCATCTGGCCATAACACCACTAGACTCAGGCCAGCATCCATCTACCTCTATTGTCCATATCATCACTACCAACCAAGACAGTTAAATGCTACCAGATATTTTCAAGTAAATTTCTATTATTCTTTATTACAGCTTCCTCTGTGGTGGAGCAGGTGCCTGGGAATGGGAGGATGGTATACAGGCGACTTGAGTTAGAAAGTTGTGTTTAGAGATCTCTCAGCTGCCAAGAATATAAAGTGTTACGAGAGCTTCAGTTGAAATGTTTGGTGGTCTGAGGACTAACGTGTACTCTGTGTGCGGAACGTAGGCAGATGAAACAGCATGTTTGTCCACAAGAGGAGGCGTGTAGCTATAGGTAGTCCTCATATTGGATTATCCCAGTGGACACAGGACTTACGAAGACTGTGACAAGACTTTCAATAGCTTTCTTGATGACCTCCAATTCCAGTTCATTCAGAAGACTGGCAAATGTTTTTTAATGCCGAATAATGCAAGACCCCTGGATGTGGAGCAGAACAACCAACATCACAACTATTAAATTCACAATATTACTTTCTAGCAGATTGATGAAGAAGAGGGCTTTGGAGTCAGAATCCATCATTCGCTACACTATATCCGCTCCCACAACAAATGGGAGAGGCTGTAAAATAAAAGCTAATCAAACCTTAGGAATAATTAAGCAAACTTGACTTCAAGGAAAAGAAGGCAGTTATCAAAGTGCATAAATTTCTGGTGCGCCCCACTTGGATTATTGTATCCAAACATGAAGGCCTCATCTGCAGAAGGACATATATGATTTGAAGGAAGCTCATCACAGTGCGACAAAAATCGTCCCAGAATTAAGCTCACTCTCATAGCAAGAACAATTGAGGGTCACAGGGCTAACAACACTGCAAACCATACATAACACGGCTAATTTCATCGAAACAAATAAAATACTGTACAATTTGGAGGATGCTGATCCAGATAATTTCTTCAAAGGTCAGAGGTAACACAATCAAGGAGCCACAATGTAAGACAGAAAAGAAATGCGTTTTCACCCATAGTGTTATAAACCCATGGAACCGCCAACCCAATGAAGCCGTAAACGCCGAAACATTGCTTCAGTTCGAAGATCCTGCTGCATAAAAATATCAAGACAAATGGGAAAGCCTTTCACATGCCACTAGCTTTCTCTCCTCGTCGTGGCCACTAGTGCTATGGTGGCCCACAGGCAAATTCAGCGAATTTCTTATATACTTAGGTTTTGATAGGTTAGTGATGTGATGATAGGAACCTTATGATAGGTAGTGATGTGATGATGGATACCTTATGATAGTGATGTGATGATAGGTACCTTATGATAGGTAGTGATGTGATGATAGGTACCTTATGATTGGTAGTGATGTGATGATAGGTACCTTATGATAGGTAGTGATGTGATGATAGGTACCTTATGATAGGTAGTGATGTGATGATAGGTGCCTTATGATAGGTAGTGATGTGTTGATAGGTACCTTATGATAGGTACTGATGTGATGATACGTACCTTATTATAGTGATGTGATGATAGGTACCTTATGATTGGTTGTGATGTGATGATGGATACCTTATGATAGTGATGTGATGATAGGTACCTTATGATAGGTAGTGATGTGATGATAGGTACCTTATGATAGGTAGTGATGTGGTGATAGGAACCTTATGATAGGTAGTGATGTGATGATGGATACCTTTTTTTTTTTTTTTTTTTTTTTTGAGATATATACAAGAGTTGTTACATTCTTGTACAGCCACTAGTACGCGTAGCGTTTCGGGCAAGTCCTTAATCCTATGGTCCCTGGAATACGATCCCCTGCCGCGAAGAATCGTTTTTTCAACCAAGTACACATTTTACTGTTGCGTTAAACAGAGGCTACAGTTAAGGAATTGCACCCAGTAAATCCTCCCCGGCCAGGATACGAACCCATGACACAGCGCTCGCGGAACGCCAGGCGAGTGTCTTACCACTACACCACGGAGACTGCTTTTATCACCTTATGATAGTGATGTGATGATAGGTACCTTATGATAGGTAGTGATGTGGTGATAGGAACCTTATGATAGGTAGTGATGTGATGATGGATACCTTATGATAGTGATGTGATGATAGGTACCTTATAATAGTGATGTGATGATAGGTACCTTATTATAGTGATGTGATGATAGGTACCTTATGATTGGTAGTGATGTGATGATAGGTACATTATGATAGGTAGTGATGTGATGATAGGTACCTTATAATAGGTAGTGATGTGTTGATAGGTGCCTTATGATAGGTAGTGATGTGATGATAGGTACCTTATGATAGGTAGTGATGTGATGATAGGTACCTTATGATAGGTAGTGATGTGATGATAGGTACAAATCTTCAAGGGCCGTGACGAGGGTTCGAACCTACGTCCGAGAGGATCCCAAACGTTGCCTTAATTGACTGAGCTACAACATGGTTAAAAGAATTGCAACCGGGAAATCATCCTGAACCCTCATCACGGCCCTTGTGGATTTGTTCATTTGATGCATCACGCTATTGTGATTTCTGAGTGTAATGATAGGTGCTTTATGATAGGTAGTGATGTGATGATAGGTACCTTATAGTGATGATAGGTAGTGATGTGATGATAGGTACCTTTTGATAGGTAGTGACCATTTGAGAAGAGCTTCCAACATTTTGGGATACCGCTGTCGGACAGTAGAAGCCTGTTAGGCTCGTCGCGGTCCTTGCCAGTGACTTACCATCTCCAATATGCATGCAACAATAGTCAGCTAACTATTAGGTCAACAGAGGCACCTGGTGTAAGGAATCGTACCTAAAAGTCTCGTCTTGCCCAGGAATCGGACCCTGTTAACTGTGAGCCGAGTGCATTGACCGCTGTAGGGAGAAGACTGCTAATCCTGTGATATGGACCAAGTAAACCAACGTCGTTGTATGAGTTTCAAAAAGCATTAGAAAAGGTAACAAAATAAAAAATGAGCAAGATAAGCAAGGTGAAGAGGAGCAGGATGAGGAGGAAGAAGATATGAAAGATTAGGAGAAGCAAGATGAAGAAGATAAGGAGTGATATGAGGAGGATGAGCAATATGAGCAGCAAGATGAGGAAGAAGACGAGGAGCAAGAATAAGATGGGGAGGAGCATGATGAGGATAATGAGGAAGAGGAAGATGAGGAGGACAATGAGGATGAGGAGGAGCAAGATTATGAGGAAGAGGAGGAGTGAGATGAGCAAGATGCAGAGGAGCACTATGAGGAAGAAGATGAGAAGCATGATAAGAAAGAGGAAAAGGAAGAAGATGGGCAGGAGCAAGATGATGAAGATGAAGAGGAACAAGATGAGGAGAACAAGAGGAAGCAGGTGAGGAAGAGCAGCACGAGGAGGAAGAAGATGAAAAGGAGCAAGATAAGGAAGATGAGGAAATCCAAGATGAGTTGGAGAAAGATAAGGAAGAGAAATATGAGTTGGAGCAAGATAAGGAGGAGCAAGATAAGATGGAGCAAGATAGGAGGAGCAATATGAGTTATAGAAAGATGAGGAAGATGAGGATGACAATTTGGTACTGGAGAACGTTGAGCTACCACAGGGCGCACTTGAAGTAACATACCCGGGGAACACAACACAATGAACGAACACCACACAGCCCCTCCACTTAGATCCCTCAACCTGCTAAACATTCTCCACACATTCTCGTGCACTACTTATACTTACAAAGTCTTATTCCTCCGTTCCAATCCAGTTTTGAATTGTTCCTAGATGTAACAGAACCTTTGAATATCAGATCATAAATAAACCACTTTGAAATTCTAGGAGTCAGACTAACTCTTTGCAAACATGCCATGCAAATAAAGGGATCCATTATATGGAATTTCGTTACGAAGTACAACATTATTAAACATACATATTATTCAAAATTAGAACAATGAAGTACCAATTTTTCTCACTATAATATTACACCCTGTGCTGACTCACCAAGTTTTTTTACTACTCAGAAATACAACTATATCAATACAATTTCACTATAACCACTTTAAATAAGGTAATGATTATGTGAACTGTCATTATATAAACGTCGGGCAGGAACCGAAGACGCAGCGGACATTCCCCATCTGGATCACGACACCGAGGTGTTGGAAGAGAAAACTTGCCACTCTAGGGTCTCTTGTAGTGTCAATGAGCCTGGAACCAAGATCCTTAAGAAACCTTCTTACACTCTCTCTCCATAGGCCTAGGGGTATCAGACCCTATTGGAACGAAGTTGTACCGATAATCTAATTCCCTGTACTTGGTTGACTTGTATCTTTCTATGTGTGTTGCCACGGCTCCTCCTTGGCCGGCAGAGCGGTTGATGTATGTGGTTGCCAGGGTGGATACGCAAGTATAGTCCCATGCCAACTGTGTGCCACCTTTATATATCTATATAAATAAAAATATAAATGGTCGTTTGTTCAAAATCGCTAAACTCCGAAAGTTTTGCACCGATTGCCTTGAAATTTTCACACAAAGTTCCCTTCGCATCCGAGCGGGCTTTTATATACATATTATACAGATATATACATACTATATAGATGTCACGTCTGTGATGGAAAAAAACATTTTTTTTAAAGCTGTGTTTTCGGGTGTTTTCATGTGAGGGAAATCTTCGAAACCTCTATACCGATTGATTTGAAATTTTGACACAACATTACATTCGAATAGGTGAGTGTTTTTATATACCTACTATATACATGCCTCACCTGTGACAGAAAAAAACATGTTTTTTTTTTTAAACAGCGGCATCTGTAGGACGTAAGAGCAACACATGTCGTAATCTCCGAAAGTTCTTCACCGATTGCTTTGAAATTTTGACATAACGTTCGATTCGAATATCTGCATGTTTTTATATACGTACTATTTAGATGCCAC